TTGTGTTCATACGTATGAACAAAAACCTGCCATGTTGAAAATGTTAATTTTTTTTGTTTAGACGTATGAACAGATTTGTTTCAAAATAAGCACAAAATAACTGAAATGCTGTTTTGTTCATACGTATGAACAAAAACCTGCCATATTGAAAACTACTTTTTATTTTTGTTCATACGTATGAACAAAATTGTATCGTGTAATTTATGGGCTATTTTTCACTCTGTGAGTTTGTTTTGTTCAGACGTATGAACAATTTGTTTTGAAAAAAAAAAACAACACAAAATGACTGAAATTATGCAGTGTTCATACGTTTGAACAAAAATCTGTCATGTTGGAAAATGTTAAATTTGATTTACTTTTGTTCATACGTATGAACAAAATTGAAGCGGCTAATGTGTCTGCTATTTTTTGTCTGTCAGTTCATTTTGTTCAGACGTATGAACAAATTTGTATCAAAATAACCTCAAAAGTACTGAAATGATAGTGTGTTCATACGTGTGAACAAAAACCTGCCTTTTTGAAAAATGTTGATTTTTTTTTTTGTTCATACGTATGAACAAAATTGTATCGTGTAATTTATGTGTTATTTTTCACTCTGTGAGTTGGTTTTGTTCAGACGTATGAACAAATTTGTTTCAAAATAACCACAAAATTACTGAAATGATTATGTGTGAACAAAAACCTGCCATGTTGAAAATGTTAATTTTTTTTTTGTTCATACGTATGAACAAAATTGTATCGTGTATTTATGTGCTATTTTTCACTCTGTGAGTTGGTTTTGTTCAGACGTATGAACAAATTTGTTTCAAAATAACCACAAAATTACTGAAATGATGTTGTGTTCATACGTGTGAACAAAAACCTGCCATGTTGAAAATGTTGTTTTTTTTGTTCATACGTATGAACAAAATTGTATCATGTTATTTATGTGTTATTTTTCAGTCTCTGAGTTGGTTTTGTTCAGACGTCTGAACAAATTTGTTTCAAAATAACCACAAAGTTACTGAAATGATGATGTGTTCATACGTGTGAACAAAAACCTGCCATGTTGAAAATGTTAATTTTTTTTTGTTCATACGTATGAACAAAATTGTATCATGTAATTTATGTGTTATTTTTTAGTCTCTGAGTTGGTTTTGTTCAGACGTCTGAACAAATTTGTTTCAAAATAACCACAAAATTACTGAAATGATGTTGACTGTGTTCATACGTATGAACAAAAATCTGCCATCATGTTGAAAAAATGTTAAATTTGATTTACTTTTTTGTTCATACATATGAACAAATTTGCAGCTGTTTATGTGATATTTTTTACTTTGTGAGTTGGTTTTGTTCAGACGTCTGAACAAAATTTGTTTTAAAATAACCACAAAATGACTGAAATAATGCAGTGTTCATACGTATGAACAAAAACCTTACAAGTTGAGGAAAAAAGTTGTTCATACGTATGAACAAAATTGAAGCGGCTAATTTGTGTGCTATTTTTCACTCTGTGAGTTGGTTTTGTTCAGACGTATGAACAAAATTTGTTTCAAACTAACAACTAAAAATACTAAATTTGATTTACTTTTGTTCATACGTATGAACAAAATTGCAGCTGTTTATTTATGTGATATTTTTTACTTTGTGAGTTGGTTTTGTTCAGACGTCTGAACAAAATTTGTTTCAAAATAACTACAAAATGACTGAAATAATGCAGTGTTCATACGTATGAACAAAAACCTTACAAGTTGAGGAAAAAAGTTGTTCATACGTATGAACAAAATTGAAGCGGCTAATTTGTGTGCTATTTTGACTCTAATGGTTTGTTTTGTTCAGACGTATGAACAAATTTTGTTGAAAAATAAAAAAGATATTACTGATTTTTTGCTGTTTTTGTCCTTTTATGCCCAAAAACCTGTATTTTTTACTGTGTTTTTTCAAAGAAATAACTCTAAATCGGGCCAAAAAGAGGGACACTCGGAAAATCCTCTTTTATTCTGGAAGCAGATATATAAGGAAAATCAATGTCCCCCCGGGCAGGGCCAATTTTGACCACAAGGCTCTTATTTGAACAAACTTGTTAGACATCCATTGCTAAATATCGTAGCTCTAGTTCTTTGGGTTCTTTAAAAGAAGATTTTTAAGTTTTTACTATATGCATTAGGAGAATCAATGACCCCCTAGGGGTGGGGCCAATTTTGACCCCAGGGCTTTTATTTGAACAAACATGGTAGACACCCATTAGAAGATGTTTCATGCTAAAATATCTTAGCTCTAGCTCTTTGGGTTCTTTAAAAGAAGATTTTTTAAGTTTTTACTATATACATATAGGGAAAATCAATGACCCCCTGGGGCGGGACCAGTTTTGACCCCAGGGCTTTTATTTGAACAAACTTGGTAGACACCCATTAGAAGATGTTTCATGCTAAACATCAAAGGTCTAGCTCGTTAGGTTTTTTAAAAGAAGATTTTTTAAGTTTTTTCTTTACACATATATTTAAAAACAATGACACCCCTGGGGCAGGGCCAGTTTTGACCCCAGGGCTTTTATTTGAACAATCTTTCATTCTTTGTAGACACTTACTAGAAGATGTTTCATGCTTAATATCTAAACTCTAGCTATTCGGATTTTTCCAAGAAGATTTTTAAGTTTTTGCTATACACATATAAGGAAAATCAATGTCCCCCCGGGCAGGGCCAATTTTGACCACAAGGCTCTTATTTGAACAAACTTGGTAGACATCCATTGCTAAATATCGTAGCTCTAGCTCTTTGGGTTCTTTAAAAGAAGATTTTTAAGTTTTTACTATATGCATATAGGAAAATCAATGACCCCCTGGGGCGGGGCCAATTTTGACCCCAGGGCTTTTATTTGAACAAACATGGTAGACACCCATTAGAAGATGTTTCATGCTAAATATCTTAGCTCTAGCTCTTTGGGTTCTTTAAAAGAAGATTTTTTAAGTTTTTACTATATACATATAGGGAAAATCAATGACCCCCTGGGGCGGGGCCAATTTTGACCCCAGGGCTTTTATTTGAACAAACTTGGTAGACACTCACTAGAAGATGTTTCATGTCAAATATCGTAGCTCTAGCTCTTTGGGTTTTTTAGAAGAAGATATTTAAAGTTTTTTTCTTTTGGTTGCCATGGTAACCAGAGTTCTGCATGGAATTAAATTCTTTGAACAATTTTCAAAGGTGACCACCAAAGGAACATTCCTGTGAAGTTTGGATGAAATTGGCTTAGTGGTTTATGAGGAGATGTCATTTAAAGTAAATGTTTACGGACGCCAGACGGACGCCGGACGAAAGCGATCACAAAAGCTCACCCTGTCACAAAGTGACAGGTGAGCTAAAAATTATTTCAGGAATTTTTTAATAAGCGGGTTTTAAGCCGAAAAACGCGGCTAAACTGAACGTCAAATTTCACACAATTTAAAATTTACAGTATTCTTTCCATTTTTCAAATACTTTTCAGCGTAAAAGGATAAATTTTAAATCAGCTTAAAGGGAAAAATAATTTCCGTTGAATGCTTTAGAATTTAAGACAATTGTCCGCCAATGGCGTTGAATTACCCGTAACAGTTGCCAAGGATACACAACAACTTCATGTTCAAAAACGGGCTTTGATGGTCAGCTTTGACGCCGTGTGTACAAAAATTGGCTGGAACTATTGAAATAAAATCAACGGAACCTAATCAGAAATATGGTCAACTTTCTGCATGCCAATTTTCAAGACGCAACTAGAAAGTTCGCAAAGTGTCGCTTTCTACCTTAAAGTTTTTTAATTACTATCTTCCTCTCCAAAAATATATTGGTACCCTATACCGCCCTTAATTGTGGTTGACCTCGACCCAAAGTATTATAAATCTGTTATGTTTGTTTATGTGTTTTTTTATCATTTCAACTTCACAAGCTTTTGATTCTATATGTAGATTTATTGAGAATTTTATAAATGACATATAATATTGACTGAAACTCAGAAAAGTTTTTCCTTTTATACTTTTTAATTAAATATTGAGAAATATTGATGAATGAAATGCGTATTTTCATTTTCCGTATTTTCACTGCTGTGAAGCATATTTTTCGTATTTTCTCTGCAGTGAAACATATTTTCACAGGTGTCTTGCTGGGCTTAATTCAGCCAATATACAAATGTATATAATAAACAGAAAATTCAATAAATAACTTTGACAAGCTGACATTTGCAAGTTGAACATATTATACCTGTATATTGTGAAATAAACCTTTATTATGAATACAAATTCTTGCATATCAGACTGGCGTTTCCGTTAGTTTTACCCATGCCGGAAATTTCATCTGGCATGGGGGGTTCCAGATGAGTCGCGTGCTGTACAATGGCACGATAAAGATGACGTCATTTTACCGTTATGAATGATTTTGTAATTCATATGCTGTTGAATGAAAGTAGTTATGGTTGTAATGATATAAATTTTCATTGAAAATAAAGATAAAGAATTTAAAAAATAATGGAATATGGTAGAATATGCAAGAAAAAATATCTGACATATGTTTGCATTTCGGATCGGAATATCCGTCCCTCGGTCACCCGCCCATGGGCGATAACTCGGCAAGCCTCGTTACCGCCCAATGGGCGGATCACCTCGGGACGGATATTCCGATCGGAACCGCAAAATATGACAGATATTATTATTCACAAAACCGTATCAAAGTAAAAGAATACTATTGACCCCCCTTCCCAAAAAAAGATTCAAACTAGGAGCTCTTAAGCACTAGTCACTCAACCGAGACAGTGGCCTAATCAATAAAACAGCAGAACAGGACTTATGAGGTTGGCATAAAAACATGAAGAGTACCATGAAAACCCAGGAAAGATCAGAATATCTGAACCAAAATGTGTTTTATTCTCAAAAGATAACAGTGTAATTGCTCAGAAAAACTCATTTGATAATTAGTCCATAATACAAATCATTCACTGTTTCAGTATTATAATATGGGTTTTGAAGAAAATGACATGAGAAATAAATTTATACCAAAATGCTGAGCCTCTAAAATTGAAAAAAAGAATCTGTAGCCAGAAGACAATGATACTTCTCGTCTTTTGCCCTCATCTGCAGACACAGTTTCTCCAAAATCACCTTTATTCCTCTTTTTTTCTTTATTCCTGTTTTGACACCTCTTCCTGCAAGATTTATTTTCAAAGTTATTAAAAAAATGTGTTCTAATAAACCTGCTATAATATGGGGAAGTAAAAGTTCGGGCCCGCGAAGCGGGCCCGGGCTTTGGCTTGCCCGGCTATAGACTACATGTGTATATTTAAAAGAAAATTCAAATAAAAAAAAATAAAAAAAAATATATAGAATTCTATACCTATCAATGAAATTTTCAGTGTCAGTTCTAGTTAGGCGCCGCCATTTACAATGTAACTCAAAGATAAAAGGCGATGTATTCCGATAACGGAACAAATCTCAACTTTTCGGATTAATAATAATCGTCGAGTGTTCCGAGTGAAAACGGAAGTGGGTACATATAATACCGAATGACACCTTTAAAACGGAAAAATGAAAGGATGTTTTACCGACTTTTTTTTTTCTACATCATACTGCTTTAAAATCGTTTTCAATCACTCTAAGCAGGTATACATTGTATACATTTAAGAAACAGCTTTAAGATACATGGGAATCCGGGAACCAGTCCCTAGCTCTTATTGAATAGACCCCTTGGTTCTTTTACATGCCCAGTGTATAGCACTGATACATGCGAGGATTACCTGGATTTCTTACCATTACACCTCTAGACTTCCCCGTTCATAGGCTTTGCCTAATTTCATATTAAACATTTTTAAGAAAGCAATGTTATTTTTGGTTCATATTATTTGATCATTAAATAAATATATCAATGTTTCATATCTACCTTGTTAACATTTTTTTTTCCTTAAATCACTTTTACCAGAAAACAGGCAGCATAGTTCCCAAAAGAAAAAATAGACAGCAAAATTCCCATTTCATATCTTCAAAGATCCCAAAATAACACTAACAGACAATTCCTCAAATATCTGCAAACTTAAAGCTAAACAAACCAGTATATTATGGATGCTAAGACAATTCCTCAAAAATCTGCAAACTTAAAGCTAAACAAACCAGTATATTATGGATGCTTCCATGATGATAAGTGATATAGGATAATAACCAAGTATAACCACATATTCCATATTCGTACCCAGTTCATTTCGTACTTTTAGTGTTTCACACCTAAATATTATTTATGTACAATTGTTTTCTTTTTTTTCAATCTAAAGTAACAAAAAATCATTGAAGTTAATAATACACGGTTTTTAAATGTATATTATGCATATAATACATGTTTTCCTGGATAAAAGGAACTCCCAATGAATATTTTGCATCTTATGTAAAATTCCCAATTTGAGTTAAACCAAAGCATAATTTTTTCACAATCTGTCTGGTACTGGCACCATTTCCCCAAAGCAGGGGGTAAAAACACTGCAGGGCCATCTATAAATAATATAATCATTACACTCCTTGAAATGTACATTTTGGTTGACATGACAAGAATTCCATCCATTTCAGAAATATTTTTTGAATTAAATTATAAAGGAGATAACATGTACATATATAAATAATTTTTACAAAAATAAATAAAAATACAATATTTTTTATCGGAACTCAAGAAATTAAATCAATTAAATACATTTACTCTTTTGAAGGAAATTGAAATTAGTTAAAATCATTAACTCAGGTGAGACATTTGTCTAATATGCAACCTCAAATCTATTTGAAAGACCCTGATGCAACAGATAGTAGTTTCATTTGCTTTAATGTTCAAGTTTTGCGCCTGACCTTGTGTAAAGCCCTACTCACACAGAACACACAGCTTATACGGTTGGCCACTCATGTAAACCGTACATATGACCGAACCAACCGAGGCCATTCAAGTGTATCAGTGTAAGCTGTGTATGATTTTTGAAAATATTAAAACAATTATACGGGTGTCACATAAGCCACTGTACAAGATCGTAATAGCCCGTATGAGATACAGTTTATACAACCGTATTTGAAGTCAACTCAAATCGTATACAAATCGCATGGAATCGTTCAAGACCGTCCCAAAGTCCTATATCCTGTTCCAACACCCGATAAACACCCAAATGTCACATGATCACGGTGCGATTTACACAAGTGCACATACGATTTCAAACTATCACCATATGACCAAAACGGTTCAAGTAGGAAACATACATGGCAGACACGGTATAGTACGAGTATAAACGGCATCACCTTGTATATTCTGTCTTACATAGCCTCTGCGTCAGCACGAACTGTACAACGAAAGCCACAACTACCTGCGCAGCCACCCTCAACTGTTAGATCTACCCAGAGTACTTGTTGCATCAACCTAGAATGCATCCAAAGAAAAAGGTTCCCACGCACAGAAACAATACAAGGGCCATCAAGGCCCACCGATCACTTCAGCCTGCTGACGGTGAAACTGTCGAGCCTGGTGAGCTAACTGAGCTGGGGGACACAACAATGATAATGAATGTCTATCAGTCTTATCATGAGTTCTAATTCTCTTATCCTGTCATCTGTTGCATTGTTTTATATAACAGTTATTCGCAGATATGGGTGTTCCTTTCATTGAATTTTAGTTTGAAAATTTATGAAGCCTGAAGCCATCAAAATGGATCAATTTATATCAAAACATACACAAATATGTAATAATTTGATAAAAACTCTGCAGGACCTTATGTTAACCCTATGAAACTCTAGCAAATAAAGTAAAAATCTTGTTTAATTGTATGAGACCGTACTTATAAGACCTACTTGGAGCCTTACAACAATATGTATTCCTATGCAAATCATTTTCAAACCTTACTTGACCGAGTATATCCGTGCTTTATTTGTACATACTTGTACTACATTCAAGTGTAAACTCTTGCCAACTAATCCCAAGGCACAATTGGAGCTGAAAACTCATACCAATCAATCCATGTATAACCAAGTATACCTTATTGGAACCATGTGTGAGACAAGCTAAACACAATTATTTACATGTATTTCAATAATCTCAAATGTACAATTTTTAAAAAATCTTCTTTGCGTACTTAAGTCAGGAAAAGTAGAAGACCCAAAATAACATCAAAACTATGTTAGTCGTCTTTGCTGCAAGAATGCAGCTAGTCGAATTTAATTCAACACAGCCCCATGTCAATTTTGCCAAAAAATTGGTCAATTCGGGCCTACATTATTTCTAGTTGGTCAATGGAGCCCCAAAATAGATTTTCAAAATAAATTTTATTAAATTTAATCATTATTTTTCAGATGATAGTTTGCTTTTTTTTTTTATAAATGATATATTTATTAAGCGATTATTTCCTTTAATTGTGAATGGGTCCGTCACCGTGATAATTTTGAAAAAAAAAATCCAAATTGTGAATTAAAAAAGAAATGAAAATTTATAGAGATCTATACAGTCACACTTAATCTACTAAACTCACATATGTTATTATCTTTTCTGTTCTATTTCCTTATAACAGCAAAAATATTAATTAAGATTACCACAATGACCCTTTTCATATATTTCACAAATAATTTAGCCTACCATTCTTATATATTTTATACTATAAAAAAAGTGAAATATAAGATTTGAAGAATAAATCCTTAAAACCTTTCCTCATCAGGCCATTATGCATTGCTGTTTACTAATTGATTCACTCAACATATCTCCCTCCCTCAAGTGAATATTATATGTATGACAAACACATACTGGGCCAGTGGCAAATATCTCCATCTCAAATAATGTAAATAATATCTAAAGCAAATTTAATTCATAAAGTACATCTTAAATCTGGTTTCCCACCTTTTAACAAACAAAACTCCCTTCCTTTTGGTGACCCTTTTTTGTTTATAAAAAGCGGCATCGCGAAATTGTGTGACAAATGAAATTTGTTTTTTCTGCATTAAAATCCAATATTCTAGTTGTTGTTGATTTTAATAATATAACATAAAATAGAATCTTTTTATTTTAGTATTTCATGATTATTTTAAACAAATGCTGGATCATGCGTCATCGAGATTGTGAGAACCCTGAGTGAATGTTAATTTAATGCCCGAAAGGAAGCTTTTATAAATATAGATGACAAATAATGTCCATTGGAATATATATATATATTTACCTTATACGTCTGTAATATCTTGTATCTCCGAAATATTACACTTTTTTCAATAACTATAAAAAAAACACGTTGTCCTTCGAGTTCAATATGGTGGACGTTTCGCGGGACATTCTTACCATAACACCGGTAGCAGGTGCGCGTTTGGATAAAAGTGTGTACGCCATCAAAAATTCAGTTAACAGGGACGTGTATAAAACGTCAGTTTAACATGGAAAATTGCACATATTCAAAATTTTCGACTAGCAAACAAAATATGAAGAAAAGAGCATTTTTAAAGGCATTAGGAAAATCACTACACGAGTGTATGTAGTGACTTTCCAAAATGTAGTCAATTTGTTGGTGTGTTTACAGGTCAATGTAGCGAGATTGGACAATAAACACACGCGCACACACACACACACACACACACACATACTTGTATGGACCCGGCTCCAATGGAGGACACACAACTTTTTTGCAGTCCATTGGAGGACACTGGCCTTTCTGAATGGGGTTTTCTTTCAAAAATAACTGCCTACACATCCACAAATATATTTTTTAACACTATACTTATAACTTTTAATAAAGATACTGTCATTACAAATAGACTTCCGGAAAAAAAGAAACAGTGCTATTGAGGACACACCCCCACTCAGGTGTGGTCTAAACCTAATGGGGACATTCTGACAAATGCATCCAATTAAGGACACGGGTCAAAACACATTCTTCACTGTGGACGGTTGTTAAGTGATAAAGTGAAACTGGCAAGCTTATTGAGGACATAATAACTTCACTATAGGAAAACGTCTCGGGATTTTGTAGAAAAATCTAAGGTTTTTTAAAAAGGGAACATTGCGATTACTTAATGGATGAGGTAAAATTTTTGTATAATTGGTTTATATATAACGCACACACGGAGGGTTTATAACCTTTTTCAACAATAATGTCACTTTTCGGGTTTTCTTCCCAATTGGGTGTTTCTTAACAAATCGTTTCCTCAAAAGGATCTCGCAAACCAGTTCTTAAATCTAATTCCCCTTCTTAACTACCATGTTTCTTCCAAGGGATGAAAAACCAGCTCAGAAAGAACACTGGAATGATATCCTTATACACTGTAAACCTTTTAAAAAATTTATGAGCTAAGCATTAAACACAAACAAAAAACTAAATCTAAGTACTTTTCTTCCACAACTTTTTGTTGTAAGGGCAAATCTTATCGACCCCAAAATCAATTGCTTAACAATAATATAGAACATAAACAAAAATTTTCAGAAAGCTAGCTGTGTACTACATAAATATGGAACAGAATTTAATGCATTTTTATTTGGGCTTGATGACATTACTTGCCATTAATGCTTAATTCCCATTCTTGCTTTGATGACATTGAAACTTGCAAATTATGCGTTGATTCCATCGTCGCTTGAATGACATTGGAACTTGCTTATGCTTAATTCCCTATCTTGAACATGACATTTAGGGAACTTCATTATGCTTTTTAATTCCATCTTGTTTTGATTTATTTAAAATTTGTCATTATCTGGTTTCCAATTTTTCGTTATTTTCATTCAAACATTTCGTAAGTCACCAATTCTTTCATTGGAGTGATAACTTGAACTGGGAGAAAAAAAAAAAAAAAAACAAGCCATTTGGGAATACTAAAAATGTTAACGTCCATATACCTTTATGCATAAGCTACCCTTCTTCATGCTCCTATACAAACCATTACGGTTTAAAGTTTTTTTGTAATTTAACTTTTAATGATAAGTCATTTAAACCTATTTAATGTTTCCCTGATGGATTTTTTTAAAATATGACTTATAGCTCGGCATTTGGGCGTGATTACTATTAGCCCTTTCGCTTTATATCCGTTTTTTATGCAGTGTTTTTTATGCTTTTAATAAAGCTCGTGTCTGAGGCTTTATTGGATAATGTTTGATTATTTTTAACATTATATAAAATTTTAAAATTATGACCGTTAGGGCAGAACTCTTGTTATCGAATGTCAAACGGAATTTTTTTTCCACCGATTCGCCTATCCCATTCGAATTTTTCGTATGTACTCGTACAAGTTATATAAATACGTATAAACGGTTTAAATACATACA